CTTATATTAATAGGGATTGAAATCAATTGTAGCAATATAACACCAGGAAAAACATTATGTAATCGATATTACGATATTTTTTTATATAATTTGTTATACTAAATTTTGGATTTGCAAAAATTGCTAATAGATGTGGATATCTTTAATGCACTCTCGATAATTCATTAAAAAATCCGATTTTTTTTTTGTTTTTTTTTTTTTTTTACATAAACCCGTTTAGCGATTATATGAATAATTTGGCTACGTAATATCATTGACTATGATAGAATCATGAATAAATTATAGAGTGCGCAAGATGAGCGAGTTTCGAAGACTTTGCCATGACCTCGACAGGAACTCCTTGACCTTGCATTCTTCTCAATTAGCAACTATGGGTTCCCATGACTCTTGCAAGTTGTACGGTCGAAACAGAATTCTCCACGCGCAAATATCTACCATTGGAAATGGAGTAAATTTTATTTATATTTTATTTTAAAAAAAAATGACAAATATTAATATAATTTATATTTATTTTCTTGAGAAAGAATATCGTATTTGAAGAATATGTTGATAATTAAAAGATAAATTAAAATTATAAATCATATACGCGGCGTGTATATGTGTTGTACATATATACATTTATATACTATCTTATTCCACACTTCTACATGACTCTCGCTCATTTTTTTATTACTCATTCATACAAGAAATGAATGCAGTTTCTTATAACGTGCAAAATCGCGTTCGTGGCTCGTGCGAATTTAAAGATGACGTTATTCCATGTACCGTCATGATGTATATTTTAATGTGTACTCAAGCTCTTAAACGGTCAGTATGGAAATTTGTAACATATACATACATTCGCACATATATGAGAGTCGATAACACATAGACGATTAAATTCGAGTCTGTTCACGTGACTTTAACACTAAATTATAAAAGATATCGCTTTGCTTATTATATATTATCGCGAATATATAATACTAATAATAATATATATACAACAAATGAGCCAGCGTTATAAAGTAATAACATTACGAATATTTTTTGGAATTTAAAAAATGTATCCAATATTGAATGCCTTACTGCTTATGTACTAAAAAAGTAAAACAGTTTATGGAATATTTAGGATTAAGCTCAATAGAATATATTCCTTCCTTAATTTGTTCCTTTTTATTACAGTCCAGATACAAGTCATATTACATGCAAACAAAATGAAGAATATTTTAACGTATTATTCAAGAAACTTAAATTGCAATTTTAATGATTTATTATTTAATGATGAATTTTAATCAATTTTTTGATTATATATATTTTGGTGAATATCAAGATAACACGAGAAACGAGATTACAATCAGAATGTTACAGAGAAGATCTAGAAATATCCAATTTGTATCTTAAATAAGAGAATTATAGCTCCTTTAATAACATGTTGTATTCATTTTATTATGTTCCGATACGTACGGAGCTGTGATATTCCTTCGAACTGACCGTTCTCTTCTCGTTTAGAGGTCCTTATACGGTCAAGAGCAACCAGGCAATCTTTGCTCATAATATGCATTTAACTCCTCGAGAAACGCGTATGATCGGACAAGTCACATAAGGGGATTATGCAATGGATCGGTCTTACAAAGTAGGTCAACGATTTTGACGGTAATACATATATGTGTTGTATATACGATAAGTTTAAACCCTCGTAACGAGTGTGCACCTTTTAAGGGAAGTCGTTAAGCACGATTGCAAACTTCCTTTAGAAAGGAGATCCTCTACTCGTCGACCAAGAAGTGCGCCATACTAACATGCAAATCAATCAAGTTCTTAAGGTCTTGCATATCCGTGCATCCTTGAAGAATCATCGCATTCGAAATTGTAAAAATAAATAAGGGAGAATTGCTTATACAAACAATTCCATTTTATTTTTCAATGGTATACATTATTCTCAGCGTTTCGCCATTAAATTAAATTAATATATAATAAGTGAAAAAACTAATCAATACTCACAAGTTAAAAAAAAAAACAACAAAATTTGTACACTGAATTAGAATCAATAGTATAAAATACACAATTACTGATAAATTACTTCAAAAAGTTTACTGTACATTTTTTTTAAGTTTGAATGAATATTGCCTGATCTGACTTATTCTCTCGTCTCTGACATACAGTATATATATACATATATATATAATACTGATTATTCTTACCAGCTTTAACCTTGATATTGATAAGATAGACAGTTATCCGGTGATATCACACTTATAGAGAGAATCATTAATATATGAAATTACAGTTCAAACTTCTACTTTGCTCTATATTGGCTCATAAATTGTTATCTTTATATATTTACTAATATAATTTACTATTATATAGTTACTAATAATGTTACAACAATATTTTTAATTACTTGTCACTCTAATATTTTTAGTAACACAAAAACTATCTAGTATTTAAAAAATCTGTTTCTTTTTATGAAAGATTAAAATCATATTGAAGATTATAATTATATATCTTATTTTAAAAAATCTATTTTATAATATTATCTTAAAAACAAATAAAGGCATAAAATATTTTCGACGAGGATGAGATATTTAAAATCAGGCGGTGAAATTTATGCCACGTTACTTTGCACCGTGCTTCATGCACGGAAAAGCGGTCTAAAGTATCATGTGCCTTTTCGCGTCTATGTTAAAACTTGTCACTTTTTTCACGTTAATTAATTTATCGTGCGCTTACTTAATGCCTAAATATAGAAGTGATCGCGTTCTATTATATTGTTGACGACGGTGACTACGGTATCGCGTGTACTCTTTAAAAGGGAACGCGATTTGATATCATCGAGGAATGTGCAACTATGCGGAACAAAAATAAATGACCGAGCACAGATATTAATCAAACCGTATAACATTTTTTTATGAATTTAAAGTCTTAAAATTGTATCAAACTTTTCATTTTCCGTAATCTTTGAAATTAACACTGGTAATAACATTTGATAATCTTTTAATATTGTAAAATATTCATGCTTTTTGCACATATAACATTACAAACATTACAAAAATTTTAAGGGAACGAAGTAGAAATTTTCTTAACAAATTAATAATTACATAAAATAGAATTTTAAAATTTATATTCTTTTTTTATTAGATATAACTAAATATATTCAATTTAAAGAAATAATAAATAGTAATAAATTTCTTGTCTATAGCATTGAATATTATTTTTTATTTTATGTAAGAACATTTATTATTAGAGTAGACTGGAATGAGTAAGTTTTGAATGAGTAAATTAAATGCAGATTAATTCTGGTAATTAGAGTAATATTTCAGGTGAAAATAAATACACGAACACATATGAGAATTTCTTATAAAAAAATTGTTACGGCATTGTTTCATTTGCGAATTTCATGATCTGTACAATATTCGACACACTGCAATAAAGTCTATTAATGGCTATATTGTAAAAGAATAAATAATAAAATACGTACAAATGATGGTATTTTTATTGTAAAGAAGAAAATAGTAAAAAATGATTTTACGTATAAATAAGAACTGTGAAAATAAAATGCGCAAGTTTGATCATAATTGATTATTTTTCATAAAATGCTAGAAATGTTTATTTGATGGATTCATATTATTACAATTTTAATTCGAGTGATAATCTCTATCAAGGAAATGCTTAAAATGTATCTATTTGGTATGTAACGATATAGATATATATTTTATTTTATTTTATCATTTATGCTCTTTATGGACGATAGTGTTTTCAGGGGAAACACGCCGCAGAAATAGTTTCGCGCTGGCGTTAAATCACTTTATAGTGACGCACCGAAAATTTGAAATCTATAAAAACACTTTCACGCAGATACCAGACGCACGATACGTATACGCACATACACATTCATATATACACAGTGTATTATTATAATCAAACGCGTATATGAAATGTACCCAACCATAATACGATGTAATAAGACCATATTTGCACAGTACAATTAATTTAATATTGACCTCATCTTAAAATTGCCGAAATAACTGTAATATGCTAATAATTTATAAATGATTAAACTCTCGAGGGTTTCTAAAAAATTAAATTTTTCAGAAAAAAAAGAGATACAGATAAATAAAATTATAACTTCTATTTAAACAAAAACCGATTCTTTTCGTAGAGTTTTAAGATGAAACTTGCTAATCAAGATGTATAAATAATTAAGATACTGAACATTAAAATAAGACAAAATTTTTTCTGAATAATTCAGACTTAACTCAGAACTTGATGAAAGGAATGTGATGGGACACCTTTTACATAGTTGGGTCCCTGGAAATGCATCACGATCCGAGGCACCGTATATCTAACGGAATATGCATACTATAGGAAGATGAATGCCGATGACGCGCGGGTCCATGCTTGGAAACTTTTCCTTTTTAGGCAATCACGTATAGGCAGGTAGAAATCGTTCGTCTGAATAGAAATGCGTATTTGTTGATTTCTTTTATACAAGCGATTATAATTTAATGATGAAATCTTTGGCAAATTGATCTTTTTACTATTAGAAATTATTATACATTTAAAAGTAACAAACATATAGTATAAACATTACGAAAAAATTACGCATTTCCTAAAACGAGATAGCCTTTGTATTCGCACAAGAAGAGATGCGCGCATTGTGCTCACTAAAAGAAATAAACTGATGTAACGGGTTATAGGTCAGTGACTCCCTCCGGTCGTACTCATGGTTGCAATCCCTACAGGATGCATTACTTGGTACACTAGAATATCGCATAATTCCCAGACAGCACAAGGATGTCCTTAGGACGTCCAAAGGGCATCCAGGACATACATGTAGGATATCCTCAGGATATCCTATTTTAATCCTCGGATCTCCTCTGGATGTCCTGAGGAAGAGTAAATGATAGCCATACACTAGCCTCTGGAGAATCCAGGGAGATCCTGTGGAACATCTTAAGGATTTCTATAGGATATGTTAGGGATATTTTTCACACGTTAAAAAGAACAAATTCTAAAATTTAATGGATAACTTTTACGAAACCCTGAAGGACGGCGTCCTACTTTGCATGTACTTAAAGAATCGAATAATTGACAAAAAATGCCGATCGACTTAAAGATCGTCGGCGAGGCAAAAACATTTATGTTAATCGCATTTAATCTCTGTTTCCCGTTAGCTTGGTGAATGACATCAAGGAGGGTTCGGTAAAGAAAATTAACAAGACATCATTAGCTTTCAAGTGCATGGAGAATATAAACGCTTTTCTAGAGACTGCGAAGATATTAGGTGTTCCTCCACAAGAGACCTTCCAAACCGTAGATCTTTGGGAAAGACAAAATTTAAATTCCGTTGTTATTTGCTTACAATCTCTTGGAAGAAAGGTACAGTACTATTTCATAAACATATGGATATACCGTAACTGAAAATTCCATGCATATTTCTTTACCAATCTGTGTGGTCTCTCTTTTTGTAAAATTGTTAAAACATCAATTATTTCTGAATCACACACACACACACACACATAGACATGTAAATAAATATAAATCTTTTCGCGAATTAAATTTAAATTAAAAATATGCATTATTAATATATACAAAAAAAAATATTATTTAGTTCATAATTCTATAGGATATATCTTTACAGGCGGGTAATTATGGTAAACCAAGTATCGGTCCTAAAGAAGCAGATAAGAATGTACGCAATTTCACAGAGGAACAACTCAGGGCTGGACAAGGCGTGATAAGTCTACAATACGGTAGCAATAAGGGTGCTAATCAAAGTGGCATTAATTTTGGAAACACCAGACATATGTAAACCACTATACTTTCATATTTTCACTGAAAAACAAAATCGCTCTATTTCTTACCCTATCTTGACTGTGTTCCCGCAACACGCAAGTATTCCTTTAGACATAGCATATCGCATAATACATGTTCATCGAGGTCCAAAATAAAATGTACTGAATAGTGCATAAGATATTTCTTGTGTGCGTATTAGGGGAAAAGACACAGATAAGAAGGTATAAGATTTTTCAAATAAAAGTGATAAAACGTAATTTGAGAAAAAGAAATGACAATTTTTGAATGCACAAGTGTGATTCTTGAGATTTTGCAATATTTTTTATGATATTTTTAATATCATATCTTTTTCTTCTTTTAAGCTACTTTCAACAATATTCACACACACACAATGTTAGTTTATATATATATTAAAATTATTTTTCTGCTATTTAAATGTTAAACAAACTCTATATTTAAATACATTAATATAAATTATTTAATTTTTTTGTTATCTTATATCACTTTTATTTCGATTGCATCGCGTTAATGATTCAGAATTGATGTCATAGTTATCGGATACATATGATAAAATGAGTACTCCAAGAGAGAAGCAGCATGTAGTACTTTATATCCCGTTTTTCCTGATTATATGACAACTTAAAGTGAAACCATTTACGTATATATAATACGTATGCTACTGATGTAATTTATTGTATTTCATGGTTTACAACGCGACTATGTAGCTCTCAGGATAGAAAATACATAAACATTCTTATACATTACAAAAGAACAAAGATATCACGTAATTAGCATTAGTTTGGACAATTACTATAACATTTGTTAAATATTACAAAGTATATTATATGAGAGAAGAGCCACAGATACTTGGCTAGCCGTGTTGTTATTGCGGTTGAACACTTTTCACAATCTAACCAAATTATTTTATAAATTCATGTTGCACGTGAGATAATAATAATTATTATAATTATTATATAATGATGAATGATTATATATTAAGTATATATTTTGTACAAATATATATTGATGGTTAAAAAAATTAATAATTTTTCATAATGTGCTGATATGAGTTAATAAACAATGCATCAATAAGTGATTTTTATATTAAATGTTGCTTATGATGAAACACAATTGTATGTTGCATTTTTAATTGTTCTATCCTAATTAAATCAACTTCCTATCCTAATTAATTCTCTTTCCAAATAAAAAATTTAATATATTCTCAATTTTTTTGATATATTTTATTTTAAAACAAATAATACTACATATAACAAAAAAAAAACCTGTAATTATTTATTAAAAGGATAATAGTCTAATCCAGTGTTATATTTAAATGCATATTGATTATCGTGCCTCTTCTTTGCCAATTCCACCAGTTTCTGGACATTAGGCCTATATAAATAAAATAGAATAATTAAGATATATATGTACATATATAAGTTATATTGTAAATTATGAAAAATAAGTACATACCTGTATGATGGTGGTAACATTTCCTCATGGAACGTACAATCTTTTTTAATTGGTTTATTTTGTTTAAATATTCTTAATCTAACGATATCAACATCTCTGTTGCATTCATCTAAAATTTTATCTATATCTTTTGGAGGTACATCAAAATGTATAAGAAAATGGCTGAAAATAAAAAATAAAAAATATATGATTATATATTAAATATGTATATATTTTTCCAGTTGAACACAGAATAATCAATTGCACTTGTTATGTTTCAATTTAAATGCAAAGCTATTTTAAATATGCTTTACTCTATAATCTTACTTTGCTTCTCTATAAATACGTCCATGAGCTCTCATTTTGCATGGAAGTGGTTTTACTCCCCAATTCTCAATTTTTCTTAAAAAACCCCCAGTATTAAGTATCGTTGTGGTTGCTCTCTTTAAAGTTGCTACCAGTTCTGGCTACAAAATATATAAATCAAATTCATAGTAATAATTTTTTAATGCAAAAATATAGGAAGATCTGATGTCGTTTATGTAAAAGATAATAAATTATAGATTATTGATATAATTAGTGCAATACTTTATAAAACATAACCTAGCATATGTTATAGTACAAAATACCTTTTTCATGACACGTAACATAAGCGGCATTTCATATGTTGGCATGTTTGTTACTTCACACACACAAGTAAATTTTTCAAATTATTAAAAAAATAATAATAATATAATCTCAACTATCTTCTTTCCTTTTTCTTACGGGAAAAAATACAAATAAATATCAATGAGAAAATGAATACATATATAAAATAGTCATTGGAAATCTACACTATATAGATGCGCAAACGTTTTATCGGCAGAGAGAAGCCTGAGAGGGGCCATGCCGCCGTTTTTTGTAAAACGGGTTTCCTAGCTAGTACAGTGGCGCTAACTGGATTCATTTTAAAGCCGGCGGAACTACATGGCCAGATTCACTTTTTGATGCCATGGTAAAACGACCGATTGGTGCATGTCCGTGCTAAACATATTGTGGATCAAAAATGCGGAGAAACATTATGGATTTATTAATGTTTTATTAGCTGCGCGTGTTGTTTTGTCATTCTAGTACATACTACAGCGATAATAAATTATAATTGAAGTATTTTTAGGTATATGCGCATGTAAACAAAAATACGGAGAAATATTATGGATTTATTAACGTTTTATTAGCTGCGCGTGTTGTTTTGTCATTCTAGTACATACTACAGCGATAATAAATTATAATTGAAGTATTTTTAGGTATATGCGCATGTAAAACGAAATAAATTTTCTTAAATAAATTTTCTTGATAATTTTTTTCCTAATTTTTAAATATAACGTATGTATGTCGAAGATATTCGCAATAAATTGCTTTCACTTTTTTCTTATTCTTGAAAAGTATTAAGCATTTTAAACATTATCAAATCATACTTTTAATTCATATAATTTTTTATTATTAATTTTTTTTTTATAATTATATTATTCAATTAATTTTTTAATTTATGAATTCAGTTGAATGCATTAATGCGCACCGATGTACATTAAAAGCTATTATAAACAAATTTATATAAGCATAATTAATTTTATTTTGCTATAGTTTTAACCATGTTCTATTGTTTTTTAAGTAGTTTTGATTGTTGACAGCGTTAATTAATTTTTTCACATTTATATGATCGCCGGTGATACTATCAGCTGTCAGATTTTCGCAAAATGTCATAAAATGTCAAAAACTCGCGATATTTTGTGCAATATTGTTTTTTTTAGCGTATAAAATGTTGAGAGTGTTTTTTCTATCTTGTGGAATTCCATTTAGAATTTTAATTAAAAAGTCGGAAATGCGGAAATAATACTTTTCTCAGGACATTTAAATATGTATTTATACGACATACGTATTTATTGACATTAATTTCGAAAACGACTAAAATTTCCTTTTCTCTATTATTGTCTTTTTCACTTTCATTTTATTTAAAAATATTAATATAAAAAATATAACTACAGTAAAATTTAATATATACAAAATAATTTATTACATGGAATTACACGAAAATGTCCAAAATATGCGTATAATAAAAAATGTACTAGAAATTGTTATACTAGACAAGGCTTTTTAGCGACTTTTGAGTTTTATATAATGTAAAGAATCGCGACCAAAAGAGTCATTAATAAAGTTATTAATCGTCTTTAATTGTAGAAGAAAGTACTTGTGCATTATTGGTGCATTTTGCGCAGACTCTCAAAGAAAAAATTCAAAACACAAAAAAATAAACAAAGTTTCGATGTACATCAACGATTAAATTATAAAACAAATCGCAATTTAAAATTCGCGAGCAAACGTGATAAATAAATAAACCGACGATATTCGTAATATTTGATTGCGATATGCGCAATTTTATGCAAAGATATTTCGATAGACAGTCGAGATTTGTCATATAGCATCCACCGCGCGATTTATTTTCCAATACGCGATTTTATACAAACGTCGCGATCAACAATAAGATATTCTATCTCGTGGATGACTGTTTTAATAGAATAAAATGGGTCTTATAAGTTTTTAAATATCGTTATAAAAAATCGCATTATTGCCACGTTTTATAGAGAATAACAGACCCAACGATTTTGAAAAGGCCCTCCCTCCGCCGGATGACACGCTGGTTAATATCCGACAAAGAGAAGAACGATCCTAAAGGCGGAGAACGACCAATGTCTTGTTTCTACATCAGTTTCTGCAAGATCGATCCGCAAAGAAAAGTTAAGTGATCCGTTGAACGTTAGAGCCGCTGCAGGAAGGAACGAATCCCGAATCTTCCGGACTGCTCCCGATAGCAATGACTTCGGTAATGAATCAACGACAGTTACCATTTATCTTCATTTCACGAGATTGAAAATTTCGCGAGAAAACATGTTCTTCCATTATTAAGAAATATATGTTTTTGTTGAAAAATAAATGGATATAACAATTTTTTATGAAAATGTGGTTACGAACAACTATATTTATGGATAATAAAATACATGCATTGTTATTATAGCTAGTGTTAAATGTGCAAGAACAAATAATTCTCGGGTACCAACTGTTCGAGACGAATCGAACCCGCGCACATTTTATGTTATATTTATATATGTAATTTCACACACACACATATTATATATATCATTCAAATATATAATATAATATTCAAAAAAGTATAAAAATTTTTTGAAATAATATGTTGATTTGCGCATGTATTTTATTATTATTTAAATTAATTTCTTAATTCGACTATAAAGAGGCGTGTGGCGCTCATCGTTGTGTTATTACCGAAACCATTACTTTCAGGAATCGCCAGGAAAACCTAGGATTAATTCCAATCCTTGAAGATACCCACCTCCTAGGTGCTAGCAATCTAGATCACTTCGAAAGCGGGCGATCAACTTCTCTAGCGAGCGAAAATCAAACCCAATTAATACAGCCAACTCCTCCAATGCCAAACATGTTAGTATTGCTACAATGTGCTGTTAGACGGTACAAGAGAAGGGACTCAGAGAATCACACTTCGAGTCGACGAGTCGGGAATTCACCGATTACT